CTCTCCCTCTCTCTCTCTCTCTCTCTCTCTCTCTCTCTCTCTCTCCCCACCCCCCGATCTCACTCAGTCTCTCTCCTTTATCTCTAGTCCACTGGTAAACTCTGGGATTCGGCCCTGCGCCCTTGGCAGATAAGAGGGGGGAAGGTGCTGTCCCCGCCTCTTGCTCGCGGTGTCACACTCCCCTAGGCTGAACTCCCAAGTGCGTCCACACTGGGGCGCAGAGCACAGGCGCCTCCCTCTCGGTGGCAGCTTCCAACTCACTACCGATGTGTCACCTGCAGTCCATCTCTTGCTGGGGTCCCCAGTTCCCTTCCTGATGTCCTGGTCCACTTTTTTGTTACTTCCATGGAACTAGCTTCCCGAAATGGAGTCTAGAGCCCCTTGTATTGTCTAAGAGAGTAACAGGAATTGCTTTTTTTGTCTCACTTCTTAAAATCAGAGGAGAAAGAGGAAACCAAAATCAGTCGCTTGTTGGTGGGCTAGCTGAGCCAGCACTGCCCATGCGGGCCCTTCCTGACGCCGCTCGGGATATCCGCCGATCACAAGGAATGTTTATTTGTTCAGATGAAGGTTCAAGAAAAGTTGACTTGGGTGTGAGGTCAACAAGTGTGTGTAAAGTGAATGTGGTGTTTGGGGACAAAGGTTGTGTCTGGTGGATGAAACCAGAAATAAAGTGAAACCTGCTTCGCTGTCAGATGGCTAAAAAAAGTATTCAAAGGCTCTTCATTCGTTTCAGGAGGGTGCGCTGCAACTGGTTAAACAGCATGTTTAAAAAGAGACACAAAGCCCACAGTTGGACAAGGACTTGGGAAAGGAAAAGGAATGTCTATTTCTCCTGAGGAATTTGAGAGCATTCTGTGTGTCTGTGTGTCTCTGTGTGTGTGAGAGAGAGAGAGAGAGAGAGAGAGAGAGAGAGAGAGAGAAATGTTCGAGGAAGATGAGGGGCCCAGTGGGCACAACTAAGGGGCTGTCATATGAAAGAAGGTGCAGTTATATCTAGCTCCAGGGGCAGAAGGCAGGTGTAACAGGGCAATTATGAAGAAGAAGTTTTCTGCAAGGGTATGGCAAACCTTAATATGGCTAGTGATTTCTTCATGACTTGAAGCAATTCAGATCAACAGATCCTGGGTGAGCACCCACAGGTACGTGGCACAAATAGAATAGCCTCAACAGGGATTAAACTAAATTTCTGTTATAAATTATTATATTTGTCAACATTAATTTACAAAATGGCACTGGTATTCAGAGCCAGTATCTCACCTAAGAGCCAAGAGTGAGTTGGTAACACGGATGACCAGCACTCTGTTGGTCAGAATTTTCAAGGTTTTTATTGGATTTTTATATATAGTATGTTGCCTATTTTTCCTTTTAACTTAGGTGACTACAGGTGACTTTTGCAAATCAATAGATATTTTAAATAGCTGACCTACATCCAACAAACTGCCCCTTTCCAGCCTCTCCACGAAAAATATTATGTGCTGAGGTGTTGGATTTCTCAACAAATGTAACAGTTTTCAGTAATACAAATGTTACATTATGTATTCTTAATCTAATTCATTTACCAGCCATTCCTGTCTGTGCTCACATTTGCCAGCCAAGCAAGTCCTGTGTAACAATAAAATAAATAGTAATCTTCTTGAAAACTTTATTAAGTACAGTGAACACAATGTAAGTGTGCAATTAAAAGTATTCAGAGAACTGGAAGTTAACTCCCAAGTAAGGCTAATACATAGATTTTTCACCCTAATAAGTTGTAAGCACTCTGATACTACTGGTTTGGTACCCAAAATGTGGCATTTTATCAGAAATACAATTATTGATGAAAAAGACTATCAGTTTAAAATATTTAAGGTACAATGCACAAGTTAAGGAATGTGTCTTAAAGTTCAAATAGTCTTAAATAATAATAACTAAACAAACATGTATGAGTATTGGCCAGAGAGTTTGAAAGAAGTCATTTCTATCTCTGACTCAATCAGTTGGAAAGTCACTTGACCAACCGATGACTTAGTTCTCTCATCTATAAAACAATAATTAGAAAGGTTAAATGTTCATCTTACTTTAGACTTGTTTCTAATTTAAAAGTCATCTGTCCGAAGAAAATATGAAAATAGAAGAGAAAGAAAAGTTTGATTCTGCAGTTGAAAGGATAGCTCACTTCAAATTTTATGGGGTTTATTTGTATTATTTTTGTTTTTGTCTTTAAGATACAGTCTCATATGGCCCAGACTGTCCTCAAACTCACTGTGAAACTGAGAATGACCTTTAGCTGCTGGTCCTTCTGCCTCTACTACTGACTACTGGGACCATAGGCCCGTGCCACCACTTTTGATGGTACTGGGAATCAAACCCAGTCTTCATGTGTGCTATGCACTCTACCAACTGAGCTATACCCCCAGCCCACTTTTTTGTAATAGATTCAAATTTTTCTAGCCCAAATATTTTATTAGTGTAGCAAATAGAAAGCATATCTACTTCTTCTAAATATTATGCATTTCCCATGGAAGCATGAAGAAATTTGAAAGAAAGCCTAGCTCTCCTACTTCCCTTTTCTTCCTTTCCACTGACTGGAGTGCAGCACAATAAATATCAGCATGGAAGAAATACACAGTGACCCAAAAAGGCATGCTGGAGCTTGGCTAAGGGGAAAAGGGCATCCAAGTAGGAGGGAGCCCAGACAGGGTCATGAAGCAGTCTAAACAGGGGAAGGGACAAAGTCAGAGGATGGCGTCCCTAAGGGGTCAAGGATATAGGCATGACCTCACAGGCCACTGGAGCTCCAGGATGCTTCAGGAAGTATCCTTGTCAGTGTGCTTTGCCAGAGCCCACCTGGAAGAGGAGGATGTCCATGCAAAGCAGTGACCTGGTGTGACCTCCAGAACCCAAGCAGAATGAAAATCATCCATATGCCTGAGAGAGGAGAAGCAAACAGAGTGGTAAGTTGGAGCCTGATATAAGGGAATTTGTGAATCAAGTATTAGTATGTTATATGCTTATCTTCTCAGTGTCCTAAAAAGGGAATTGCGGGGAGAAAACAAGGATGAATCTGGTGGTCTTGGGCTAGAACTGAGATATCTATGTCAATTACTGTTTTCTAGTATTGAAACAGGCAGATAGGGGTGTCATTGCAAATACTTCCTCCAGTCTTACTGACTACGAGGGTCTGGAAACAACTTGATATCGTATCTATAGCACTGAGCTTGACTTCTAAGCACTGTTCTCCACTGAATGAATGGAAGCAGAGCTCTTGTGGAAATGGCTTAATTCCATTCCCCCACGCACCCTCCACCCCCACCACCCGTGGAGGTAATGAGCAAGATGAACCTGGAGTGTCTTCCTGAACTTGAAATCCAGGGAGTGGGCATAATCAATGATTGGAAGAAATCCATTGAAATCCTGCCAGGGTCGTGGAGTGGTCAAAACTTACAGTCACGTGGTTCCATACCAACCCCCCCCCCGGGGGGGGTGCTGGATTTCGAGGTTCTTAAAACTTTTCTATATGCTTATAATTGTTTTCAAATTTAAAAAATAAAACAGTACTAAGGAGAGGAGAAAACTCCTGCAACAGATTATATTGAAGTAAAACTAATTTTTTTTTATTTTAGTGTAATAAACTTCAGTAAAGCAAATTTCATTTATGCACATTTTTAGCATTTGCATCATGATCCATGCTAAGAACACAAGAGTGAAAAGACAGCCCTTAGGGTGTAACTCCTGGTTAGGAGCTTGCCTAGCATTCATCAAGACGCTGGTTCCATACCCAGTATGGTCAAGAAGAAAAATGACACTCCCAATTTGACCTTTAAGAAAGTTGGATTTGAAGTCGGGTGTGGTGGCGCACACCTTTAATCCCAGCACTCAGGAGGTAGAAGCAGGCAGATCTCTGTGAGTTCAAGGACAGCCTGGTCTACATAGTGAGTTCCAGGACAGCTGGGTTATTTTGATATATCACAGTGAAAGATTTATCGTCCTCTTTTTTTTAAAAAAAAAAAAAAAAAAAAAAAAAAAAAAAAAAAAAAAAAAAAAACTTGGATTTGGGGCTGGAACGATTGCTTATCAGTTAAGAGCTCTTCCAGAGAACCAGGGTTCATTTCCCTGCGCCCACATGGTTGGTGACTACTACCCATCCTTAACTCCAGTTCCAGGGGATCGAACACCCCTTTTCTGGATTTTGTAGACACCAGGCACACACGTGGTACTCTGACATACATGAAGGCAAAACACTCATACACATAAAATAAAAATAAATAAAATCTTTTTAAAAAGAAGAAAGTTGGATTCCAGTTTAGAGAAAGGAGAAATGGTTGATC